GTGACCACACGCAGAGTGGGGGGTGGGGGGGACGGTGGCTGCTGCAAACAGAGGAGGTGGCCAAATGCAGAGAGGCAGCAGCGCAGGGTGGTGGGTAGCAACAGTGGCTACTACATGCAAGTGGTTGTCCAGCAGGCCAGAAACTCCAATTAGTAGAGTGTGCCAGTCACTAAAATGCAGTTAACACAGCTTTTACTGTACTACTGACCAGGCCAACAACTTTCATCTGACTGCCTTCATGAAACATAACTGGCCTATAGCAACAATGCTGGTAAAAGCTCTTTCCTAAGACTACTTACCTAGGTATTATTTTCAAAAACTCTGATTCAGTAAAGCATTTAACAATAAAATCATGTTTGAAGATAAGCACGTGATTCAGTACTTTCAAGGTCAAAATTAATATGGCATTAAGTAGCAACTAAGCCCTACACATGTTTGATGTTGGTCATGAGAACCGTTACAATCTGTAGATGATGTTCCCACTTTTGGTGACTGAAAATGAGTGTCCCTTGACCCTCACTCCAGTAAAAGTGGCCCATTGCTAAGCAGGCTGATTTCCTGCAACCGGAGTCCAACAGAGGGTTCCAGTTAACATCTGTAATTCCTGTACTATTGAATTGGGTATAGAAAGATATAACCAGTGTTAGTTTATTTTCCTACATCCAGACAAACACCAATTTTCAATCAATTCACTCTTGTGACTTTAAAGTTTTACCAGCATAAGTGACTGGAAACCAGTCTATACCTGTAACAGAACAGAAGTTTGGCACACGCAGACTGGTTTAACCTCGCAGAACCTGGTCTAAGATTTGCCCTCCACACCAAAGGGTGAACTTGTGCTCTGTTCACTACTGATCTAAACTATGTTGCTTACAGAAAACTGAACTTAGATCAATTCTGCATCAGGCTTTTTGGATGTCTGTAAGTAGCCAATCAGACCACTGTGATTTGTCTTGCAAGGAATGCAACATCTGTTCACAGTGTAGCCAGCTTCCTTATTTCAACTAAGTGCCATGCCACCTATATTTTCAGGTCATTTACTATATTCCATGTAGAATACATAGACTATGTAAGTCTCTTCCCTCTAAAAAAAGAGGAAATTGTATTCTAACTAATGTTTAAAATATTGAGGTTGCAGAGATAAAACACTCAAAAATTAGGAAATTCCTCAATTAAGATGCAAATTAAAATTAAACTCTTCTTTAAAACAAAGTTAAAGTTAAAACAAGTTAATTTGCAAAATCAAGTATTCGGAAGTTAGGAAATGTCTGAATTAAGGTACTAATTCATTTTACTCTTACAGCTGTCACATGTTGAATACATTCAATTACATGAGCACATGGAATTTTTAATGTAGTTTCCTGAGGTTTTTTTTTTTAAATCCCCACAAAAAGTTAAGTATTGACCAAACAAAAACTTTCATCAAATGAAGCCATAGTGATTTCCCAATACAGGTCATCAGCAAGGTTGGAATCTGAGATCTTTAGATTTCCAGCACAAACCTTCACTACTGCTTGAGCTGAGTGAAACTAACAAAAGAAGCTAGCACCTTTGTAAATCCTCTGCTGCAGAGGGATGGAGTGGGTTTCACAGCTACCTGCTAGGTAACAAAGAAATGTGGAGGCACAGGTCCCTCCTGCATTCAATACCAGATTACATTTCAGTGCATTCTACTGATCAGACCATTTTGCTCCTGTTTCTTCTGTCCGCTTGTTTAATCTATCTGCTCCAATTCACAGACATAATCTACTGATTCCTATACTTTCACCTCATCTTTTAACAGTTTTTGACATGTGCACGCACACCCCCCCTTTGGGAAACCCTCCTGCGTACTCCAGTGTATATACTTTCTCCACTGTGACCCTGAAGCCTCCTTGCAAAGAACCATTCACCTTACAAAAAGTCTCCCAAAACCATAAAAGCCTACATTTGTTACACAGCCTGGGAGTATAACACATTTTATCTGTTTTTATTCTTTTAATGGAAAATGAAATATCTGTAGAAACCAACCTTTTCCAGAGGATCAAGACCCGAAGCATTTTTTTATTATCCATAGCAAAGATCAACATTGCATTTATGGGTTAATTTCTTTTGTAACTGCTGTAATTACTGTGTACAAGTAATTTTCTAAAGCTTTCTACTACATAACAAATATAAATAGATATACCAAAGAAATGGTGAAACAAAAATCTATAATGCTTACCCCCAGTGCTGGCAGTCTTTGTGTGCAACCAACAGCAACTTTTAGCTTCCAGTCTGTTTCACCATCAAGCTGGTCAGTTCGAATAAAACATGAACCTTAAAATTACAAAGAAAAACAATTCAGATCAGACTACTGGTTTTCATTTTATTTTATTTTAGATTCTATAAAAAAATTAAAATACTTTTCTAAACTACCTTTGATCCAAAAACCTAATGGACTTTTCATTAATGTACACAACATGTATTGGTTAAGTCAGCGGTTTTCAATCTTTTTAGACTTGAGACACCCCTTATGGCTAGGAACAGACATTACACATAAACTGGTTTAAGTGAACAGAAACTGGTTTTAACCTGTAACACAACAGATGTTCAGTGAACACAAAACAGTTTGAAAATGGCTGAAACCATTTGAGATAAACCTGGCTGGATGTAGTATCAGACCTAACTGATTTGGGTCAAACCAGTTTATGCAATGCCTGTCCCAGACCCCTTGCTGGTTTAAGATAAACCAGACACTCCAGTAGCCCAGCATGTTCTCTGGGTTGGGTGTGGCTCTCTGCCCCACAGCAGGACTGGCCCTCCCCTCTGCTTTTCCCCTTCTCCCCCTCCCACCACTTGCTGCTTAAGCAGAGATCCAGTGGTGATGCGTAGGGGGTGCATGGGGGTGCACATGCAACCCCTGTGAGCACTGGCGCACCCCCTGACTGGCTGTGTTTGCCACTTGGGTGATGGGCAGGTGAGAGCGCTGGTGCCCCCCCTGCAAGCACTGGCCGGAGAGTGGAGCACCACTGCGCTCCCAGAAGCAGCCACAGCCACTCACAGAAGTGAGATCGGCCACGGGGACCCCCTCCCCCAGTCAGCAGGATTGACTGTGGGGGGGGACACTCCCCCTAATCACTGATTAGTCTGGGGTGGGGGGGGGGAGACATGTGGCCCCCCCTGACTAAGGCAGCACCAGTCGCCCATGCAGAGATCCCTTCCTCATCTCTCCCACAGCAGGGACTGTAGCCAGCATGTGGTCTTCTAATGCTGTATAAGGCAGATAGGGCTTTATGGAGGTAATCCACATCTCAGCTGGTAATGGACCTGCACTCCTTCCTTTGCAAAAAGCTGTTTAAGAAGAGCTTGTAATGAGTGAGGCTGTTTACTGATGGAGTGTTAAATGCTGATAACAGAGCTGATATCAAGAATGGAGGGGGCGAACCCCTCCCTAATCACAGTGTCCTGCCAGGGCCTGGCCACACCCCTCTCAGTTCCCTGCAGAAGGAAAAGGAAGGCTGCTCTAGCACCTCCCAGCTTCTAGCCTGAGTCACTGCAGGCACGTGCCTGCATTTCTGGGATGTCTGGTTACAAAACTGAGTTAGCTTAGCCAGCTTAGACTAACCTGCAAAGATTGAATCAATTCAGCCTCAAGCTTTCTGCATGTCTGTCCCTAGCCTATCAGACTTGAAGCACCACTCAGACAATTTCAGCTTTTAGTTCTCAGTCACTTTTTGGCTACAGAAAAATAATAGAGCAATTCTCTGATTGCAAAGAATACAGAAAGACTACAACAGGTCAGAATATTTTCGACACTATGGATTCCTATTTGAAAATCTCTGGGTTTATCTTTTACACCTAACAGCATCAACATTGTGAGACAGCCTGCAGCACCCTCAAGGCAATTCAGGCTGCCATAGCACTCTGGTTGAGAATCACTGGGTTAAATGCTTTCTGAAGGAGATGCTGCAAACATGACAGTATTTCAGTACAGTTTTCAGGATAAGAATAAAAATACGTATGCACATAATCAGAAACATTCTACATTATAAATATTTTCATATTGTATAAACTCAGTCAGTAAATGAAATATGCTGAGCAAAATAAATTTTAGGTGCAGCTCCTTTGACTTAATGGAGTCTGAAGCAGGGATAAGAAGATTTTGTTGGTTTTTAGAATTGATTTACAACTGCTTCTGAATTTTGTAATCATTTTAATATCTCAGAAGTGCAGAAATACTCAAAGCTGCTGTCCCATTTATCTGATGGGATACTACATACTTGTTAAACTTACTTCTAAAACTGACCCAGCTCAACATAAATATTAAAATTACCATATTTACTTGAATATATAATCAAGTAAAGCTATGCTAAAGCAGGGAAAATAAATAGGGGGGGAGGGGTCAGGTGGCCCCCTTGCCATCTGCCTCCACAACTTCTTGAAGCCCCTTGCCTCGCTCCTCATCAACTGTCAGACCCTGCTCTCCCTGAGCACATGGAAGTGAGGGGCAAATTTGAAAATACTGACTTTAAAATAAACAGGCCTATAGTAATTTGCATACAGACAAATGACTATGGGTACCCACAGACTTAGTTCATATAGAATTGATGCATTTAACCTGTTTCGAAACTGCTGCAATTTTAGCACAGGTACTCTGAAAATACACCTTTAAGCTGCACTTTTGTACCTGCTCATATATAAGCTATGCATATATTAGTCCAAACCCAAAAGGCTAATGATTTACCATACAGATCATTGGGCTGGGAGCCAGCCGAGTCAATGGTGTTTCAAGCCACGTTGACCCCACTGCTCAGTATGTGTGTGTACTCCAGATCTCCACACAAAGGATCTATGTGCTAGTTAGCCCCTCACTCGTGACTGGAACTGGGTGTTCTTGTCGTAAGTCCTAAGATACTCCAAAAATGTATATGCAGATGAAACACAGGGCAACCTGGTCTGATGTTTGCCAGATATTTAAGGCTTGTGAAGAAGCAGGAATCATTGGAACTGGGAAAGAAAGGCACAGTTCAGCTGTAGGACTGAAGAGGAAGTCAAAATATTCACTGTAATAGCTCATCATGACTTGAAAAAGAGTTGAAAGTTGAGAGGGGCTGAGTGCAGTGGGCATTACCATATATCTTATTCAGATGGGCTGCACTAACCAATCCTTCTGGTCATGGATGACTGATGCCTCTTGAGTTGGGGGGGCACGTGCCCCAGCCCGCCCAACACCAGTCAGCAACCAGTGGCTGATTCCACTGACTGGGAGTGGGGGGGGGGGGGGGGGGG